CATCTTATATACATTAATTTTTGTATAAAATATGCTGGGTTCGGGTTGGTTTACAATACTGTTGTGTACATACAAACACACACACATGCGCGCATACATACATACATATATATATATATATATATATATATATATATATATATATATATATATATATATATATATATATGCAAATATATATATATATATATATATATATATATATATATATATATATATATATAAATATATATATATATATATATATATATATATATATATATATATATATATATATAATACACACATACATATATGCATTGAAATATATATGTATATATGTACATACATGATATATATATATGTGTGTGTGTGTGTGTGTGTGTGTGTGTGTGTGTGTGTGTATGTGTGTGTGCGTGTGTGTGTACACACACACACACACACTTACACATATGCACACAGATATACGACAATAATCGCTATATTGTCATGGTAGTAACAACACTGCAGGTGATAACGATGAAGATAAGAATTGCAATAATAAAAATACTGATAATGATAATAATAAAATTATATTTGTGATTGTGGCATACCTTTAGCTTTAACCCTTTCTCAACGGAGAACAAAATGGGGGAAATTCTGTACTCATTTTTTATATTTTTGTGAAATGTCCCTGTTACTAATGGCTCTGCTAGTGCTTAACCATACAGTATTTTACCTTTCCTTGAAATGGCGTGAAAAACGTATTTTTACTAGTGCTATAAATATAGATGGTGTTATTTTTATTATAAGCATTATAATGACTAAAATGTTATAAACATTTCTAACAGCAAAATAAGATAACGTTAAATATTTTCGTAAATCGATGAAAAGGGTGAACGGGCGAGACAGGCGGTACTCGTAACTTGCTCATTGGTGATTTAGTACAAGTGTAGCCATCTATGTGTAAAACCAATTAAACAAGTAAACTCACAATGGGCATGGCATGTACGTACATACCATGCCCGTCGGCAGGGGATTAATTAAACTTTTAAAGACAAAGCTAGATTGTCTTAGATAGTTTAGTCACCGCTGGAAATGGACGAACTTTCTGTGATTAATACAACGATAGTCAATATCATAGAAAACGAGACTTCTTACAAGGATGGAAAATTAACACATATACTCAATACTCATTCTTCATTTTTTTATGAGCCTAATAGCATGAAACCGATATTTATATTGTTAATGAATAACTGCAAAACTTTACTCAGTGGATTGTATTTCGAATATTGTGCCATCGCATGTATATGTATTAAATGTCCGTATTACAGGTAAATGGAGAGATATCTTAACAGTTTTATAGCAATAGCTTTACAATCACAAATATGAATCGAAATAAGTTGATTAGGTATAATCTTGCAGGGATTACTTCTTTTTACATCTGCAATCAGTTTAAAATAAAGTTTTAGTGAATTGCATGAGGACATTAACAGTTATAAAGTTAGTAATTCTATAAGTAGATTTACACATGTAATTATCAATGATATCTATACGTTTACGTAAAATAAGAAAAAGAGAAAGCTAAAGAGATAAAAAGAAGTATTTATATTTAGAAAGTTTTCCAGTGATCCTGCCATTCACTAATTTTCTTAGAATTTTAAGGTAAGGTAACACAAAAACAATCTCGACCATAAATAATTCAACTACCTAGAGTGATGTAAAAAATATGATTTTCTTCGTTTCATAGATAAATACAAAGCAGTAAAATTACTAACGAATACACAAGTCTCAATCATGTAGAACAATTTTAATTTTACTGAAAACTATTGCAAAACAAATAGGCCTACCGACTCGGCCAGCCAGAAAGACCGTAGCGATTTTATTCCAAATACAACCGAGAAGTCCTTTGCTGTCTTTATACAAACCTTCCAGCTAAGTGACCTATGACCTCGAAAGGGGGACATAAGCTCCTTGAAGAACACTCGCAACCAGCAATCTGTAACTTAAAAAAAGAAAGATTTACTCTGGCATCGATCCTGGATCCTGTAACGTAGAACAGGATACAACTAAGAAAAATGAAGTAGCTGTTACATCTCCAAACCGAATTATTTTCATTGTTTAACATTAGTATTCCCTTTAATACTAAATTATTGTTATGTTGCGGTATTAGTGTTTATTAAGAAACTTATATTTTGATATGTATATTCACTAAATCACCAAAACAAAGATGTATCAGAAATCACTTTATTCTTTGCTCAAGACCTAAAGTTATGTTTAAAAAATTATCTCAGTGATTTATCATTTTCAAATTACATGTACTTTTGTATATATTATATATTAGACCGATATGTTCTTATTTTGTTAGCATAACGTTACAGCAGAAAATTAGTAAATTTGGCCTCCGGGAAAATAATTTTTTGTTGATTCTTATACCTACGAAACCGGAAGATGAAATTTCCTTTATATTGTCTGATTTTTTTTTTTTTTTAATGGTAATTAAAATCATCTATTTATCTGAAACTTGTTATCGTCATAATGATTCTACAGGCACAATCTTCATAGTTATTAATATCACCATAATTGCCTGTATTGTCCTCATTAATGCCACCATTTCTGTTGCCATTATGATTAAAACTGCAAGATTTTAGAAGTGCTAATTACTGTCATTATCTTATTGTCTCATCGTTCCTATTGTTTCGGATTGTTTTCTCATATTTTTGTGGCGTAGCCTTATACCGTACACACACACACACACACACACACACATACATATATATATATATATATATATATATATATATATATATATATATATATATATATATAAACATATATATATGTATGTATATATATTATATAAATACATACATACTTATATATTTATACTATATAAATACATACATACATATATATATTTATATATATATGAACACACACACACGTGTGTGTGTATATGTGTATGGGTGTGTGTGTGTGTGCGTGTGTGTGTGCGTGCGTGCGTGCGTGTGTGTGTGTGTGTGTGTGTGTGTGTGTGTGTGTGTGTGTGTGTGTGTGTGTGTGTGTGTGTGTGCGTGCATGCGTGTGTTTGTTGAGTTATAACTAATGTCTTTTTTCTTATTTTTTTATAAGCACAACTATATTTATGTCAAACCCAGTACTGAATACTTTTATTTAAGGGATTTACTAAAGTGTATATTATGTGGACATTGTTTACGGGCAGGTAAGAAGCGGTTGAGTGGAGCTATATTAATCAACATGTTATTTATTCCGGCGTGACAGGCCTTTTCATTTCCAGTTTGATTCATCATCGAGAGGTGATGAATATATATATATATATATATATATATATATATATATATATATATATATATATATATATATCCCAATGGTGCCGGGAAAATGAAAAAAAATGGGGAAAATATTGGACCCACTTTCTATGTTTTTTCGTGAAATGTCTGCCGATAGATGGCTCTGCTAGCGCCTGATTTAAATGGCGGGAAAAACGTATTTTTCACTAATGCTATGAAAATCGACGGTGTTATTTTTATCATAAACATTGTATTTTTTATAACTTTTTTTAACATTAGTAACAGCAAAATAAGATTACGTAAAATATTTTGTAAATCAAAGAAACGGGTAAACGGGCGAGAGGGGCGGTGCTCGTACTTGGCTCATTGGTGATTTAGTACAAGTGTTGCCATCTATGCGTAAAAACAATCAAACAAGTACTCACGGTGGGCATAGCACGTACGTACACGTCATACCCGGCACCAAGGGGATATATATATATATATATATTTTTTTTACAGCCATTCATTCCACTGCAGGACATAGGCCCCTCTCAATTCACTATTGAGAGGTTATTTGGCAGTGTCATCCTTTTGCCTGATTGGATGCCCTTCCTAATCAACCGCAGTTCGGGGCGCTACCACTTGTGCCACGGCGGCGACTTCCCCTACGACACCTGCGTTTTACTTCTCAAGGCGATATGTCGTTTTCTCGCCGTGAGATCGGGCTCGAGCCAGCAGTCAGAGCGCAGGCATTTTTACGACTGCCGCGGCGATGAATTGGACTCGGGACCACAAGGGCCGGAGTCCAGTGCTAACCAGTGGACTATCGCGGCAGTCATATATATATATATATATATATATATATACATACATACATACATACACATATATACGCATACATACATACATACATACATACAAACATACACACACATATACATTATACATACATACATATATATGTATATATACATACATACATACATACATACATACATATATATATATATATATATATATATATATATATATATATATAAATATATAAATGTATATATATGTACATGTATATATATATATCTACATCTATTTATTTGTTTATATACATATATATGTATATATGTATATATTTGTATCTATACACATACAAGTACACACACACACACACACACACACACACACACACACACACACACACACACACACACACACACACACACACACACACAAGGCTACGCAAAAATAATATAAGAAAACAATTCAAGAAAATAACATATTGGCTATACCTGATACTTCGTAAATAATAGTTTTAATCATAATGATAACAAAACTCCCTCATTGTATAGACATTTTTCAGATCGACGATTTCGTTATCATGGTCAGCCCAAGCACAGATCAAAATAACAAGGATAATTAAAGAATCTAATAGACGTGTAAGACGATCCAACTACACTGAACCATTAAGTGTGGACAGTATGTCTAAATACTATTTAAACATCGTACTAAGACATATGAATAAACGTAGAACATCAAAACAACTTTAAAAGTGAACCAGCCTCGTGCAGTAAAAAAAGTAATTGAAATGATTAAACAGAACAACTCTTCATATCGTTCAGCTCTACTTGTAAACACAAAACTTCATGGTTCATTTTCGTGATCTTGGTTTACGTTGTTCATTACGTTTTCACACACAAATAGCTACGCAATTGGTTAAATAAGTTATATAAAGGGAATGGGATAAACGAAACATTTGTTAACTGATCGTCTTTATTTATGTTATATAACATCAAACAACTGTTATTGATAATGTTGAAGGCATAGTTAGTATTTATAGTATGATTTACACGAGTGGTGATATGCGTGAAAAATGAAAACAAATATTTAATAGAGGATCAGCAAAACTGAACCCTTTGAATGAATGAAACTAGATAAAATATCAAATAACGTGGCTTATTACACAAACTTATAAAAGAGAAAATATAACCCAAGGGACAAAGGAAAGGAAACCATGATAAAACGATAAGATGCAAAGAAGGTAAAGAGAGGAATGTCGCGATAGATATTCATATATAGATATACATATACATACATATAAACATACATACATAAATATATACACACATATATGTGTGTGTCTGTGTGTGTGTGTGGTGTGTGTGTGGTGTGTGTGTGTGTGTGTGTGTGTGTGTGTGTGTGTGTGTGTGTGTGTGTGTGTGTGTGTGTGTGTGTGTGTGTGTGTGTGTGTGTGTGTGTGTGTGTAGCGCGTGTGTGTGTGTGTGTGGGTATGTGTGTGTGTGTGTAATGCTGTTAGCTCCTCGCACTTGTATTTGTGTATGTTATTGGACGAAAACTCTTGTACATTTTTTGCCGAAATAAATACTGAACAACAATTTAAGTGTCCAGCATTCATGAATCCTACGACATCTGAACTGCCTCTTGGTAAGAGGGAGGCTCGAGCATTGGCGGACGAATCACATAGAGCGAAGCCGGAGGTCCCTGAGATGGGTCCGTCGCCTCATTCTCCAGTGCGAAGTAGGGCGGAGGAAGATCGGCTGTTGGAAGGTGATGATGGTCACTCAGATTCGTTGCACGCTGACCTTCTAGTCCTGTGACGCTGAGTTCTTCTAAGGGTGGGTTAGGAGCACTGAAATATGTAGACGTGTATACGGGTCTATCGCTTGTTAACTGTGTGATTCTTCCCTCTGTGTCTGCCTCTGTTCCCGTTTCTTCACGCTGCACCCTCTGCGTCACCTTTGGCAGCTTATTGCAGCATGCAGGTGCTAGAAGAACTGTGGAACGAATTCTGGTATAATGTTCATGACGCTCACAATAGACACGGAATCTGATATTTCTTAATACGCAAATTTGCCAGATAAGCCCATGCATGATTCATGTTTATACAATAAAAAAAAAAAAAAATCTGCTCACGCGTTAAGATGATTAAAATCCACATATCGGTAAGTATACAGATGGTAATGAGGATACCGCATATTACGAAGATGGCCAGATAGATTGGGCTACAGTCTTTCTGCAACACAGGACCGAATGCTATTAGGAAATGCAAAAATGTGGCAATGACAAGGATGTGAAAATAACTAAACTAGTAATTTAATGAAATCGCACATGGCAAGGATGTTAATGGTTGTATATAAAATCACGATTAAAAAAATTTAATCATAACAGCACATTTACCACATATTAAATTAATGACAGCAAAATCATAACCACAATTACCAAAGCCCTAGAATGATGATACCAAAAACAAGAGTGCATAAGTAGGCTGGACGATGGGTATAGCAGTGGTGAGGAATGGAAAAATATAATAACAGTAATACCAATGAAAACAAGAACAGCCATAATCACTCCAGCTGCACATACACACAATTCTCATCAGAGGCTGAAGAGACACAAGCAGATGCATACAAAAATACTCTCATACACATACTTGGACTTTAAAATGGCGTTTGAAAATATGTCACACCTTAGACTGTTATGGAAATTAGAACACCTAGGTGAAAGGTAAACTCAGAGACAAATGAGCACAGTAATATGGGACGAGTAACAAGCGGAGTACCTCGAGGACCGGTCATAGTACCGATTATGTGTACTTTGCTCGTCAGTGATTTACGTTGAAGCATAAGCTAGCCATCTGAATGCTTGCACACGACGCAATAATACAAAAAAGGTTGATAGACAACGTCTCATGACCTCCATACTAATACATGTTAAGTTCATAAAATGCCGGGACTTGTCGCAAACACGACGGCATTCATATATGCGGAGGAAGATATGGGACAGAACATCATTACAGCTATCATAAAGCATACTCGAGAGCACGGTGAAGTGGTATACAGTCCACACGTAAAAAAGGATATAGACAAACTGGAAAGAGTTCAAAGAGCAGCATCAAACCGGGAACCAACTCTATGAGATATGAACAACGAAGACAGACTGCAGAAAATAGGACTTCTCCTTTGGAGGAAAGAATTTAATAGGAAATGTGAACATAGATAAAAATGACTATACTTTTCCCATACTGAAATAAGTAGGAAAGAATACGCAGACACACACACGCACACATATATATCTATATAATAAATATTGAACACTAATCCCATTCAATGCAGCACCACTGGTTATCTACACGAGCTTCCTTCCTCTCTTTTTTATATCACCGTAAGTTGCCTGATCTCGCTTTCACCTTGATCGACGAACACAGTTCAGAAGGTCAAGCATTCAATAAGGAGTATTACCTAGGAACTCCTTGTCCTCTCCGGGATGCAGTTCGTCACCAAGGACCAGAGTAGTAAGGCTAGCTACTTCGTCATGACACCGTCATGTGACGGGGCAGCTCATGATGATCTCAAAAACAAGAATAATATATCCACTAGTGGACTACTGAATGGGGTGCTTTCAGCCAAGGACCCCATATCAAAGTAAATATATATGTATATATATATATATATATATATATATATATATATATATATATATATATATATACATATACATATATAATCATATATATATGTACGCACACACACACATATATATATATATACACCTATATATGCACACACACACACTCGCCCACGTGCGCTTACAAATGCAAAACAAGCACACACAAAAATAATAAAAAAAAACACTCAAACACACGCACACAGCCACATGTGTATATCTAATAACACGTCTTGCTCTTACCGTAGAAAGTATTCTTGAAGCATTCATGTCACAGCAGATTTCTAGCACTGGAAACTTTTGATGGCTGAAGGTGATATATTTTTTGTTATCTCGGTTTGTGGTTACGGTTGCCAGAGATGCCTTTATAGCCACATACTTTATACACCTTAAGCATATGCTTCAAAATCTCAAGTTTTTATGTGAAGTGAGAGAGCGAAAAAGAAGTGAGTTTTACATTTTACAATTTGTCTGAATGATTAAATTAATTAAAGTCCATTTTATTGCGACATTTATGCGTTATGCAACTCTCTAGTGTGTGATAACCTGATAACTCCATCTGCGATAAGAAGCTATATCATCAGTAATGATTATTAATCCTGTTTTATGCCACATACTTTCCCGTTGAGTGGTAATGCAGTGCCCTTGCGCTACTTTCGTGAGAGTAGTACCAATCAAGGTTAAATCAAGAGTCAACGATAATTATAGTAGTTTTTGGTTGTATTACCAATATCATTATATTCATATATTGTGAAAATGTATGCCATCACTATTATTATCATATTTTCACTATCAGCATATTTCTCAAGGACAAAACATATTAACAATGCTATTTATAATTACATGTGATGATAATACTCTTGTCGTAGTGAAGTGAAATTTGCCACTATAGTTTGATATTCAGTTAACCAATTTCTCACTAATTTCATTCATAATTAGAACAGAAAATGTCTAATCGTCACATGATTTACTTTAATTCACAGGTAAGGATATCGCAGTTAACACAGATACTGTAATTTCTGCAATTCCTACTGTATCTTTTTTTATCTTACTGTGACGGCTATTGGGTTATTATTGGGCAATGGTGATGGGATATCTCCAGAAAAGTTACTTCATAAACTACTATTTCACGTGTTGCCTGATCTCTTATTACGTCATTTGTAGAGATAAGGAGTCTCCTATTTTGGTTATGACGCAAGATTAGATTACAGAGGTTGATTAAAAGGATTTCGATGTTCAGGGTCTATCATTGCGTAAACTCAAAACCCAACGCTTAGACCTTTTAAATTCAACACACACACACTGCAAGTAGAACAACGAAGGGAAGAACAGGAAAACACACGAATATGCCGAAGGCCTTTTCGCATTTACTGCTTCATCAGGGCTTACATAACAAGAGATACATAGAAATATATATACATGTACTAGGTGGTCAGGTCACGTTGGTGATCAGGTGAGCGACGACCTTGGCTAGTTCGTGACTCACCGTTGCGGTGTTGAAGTTGTTAGTTGAGTGTATGTATGCCGCTTCTACCATCTTCCTTTGCCGTGGGGGCAGGCCTTGCTTAATGATGGAGGCCTGGGACCACTTACGGAGATGGCCGTCGGTGTCGACGTGAACAACGAAGACGCTCCTCGTGTCGTGTCGCAGGAGGGCGCTTCGGTGTTGGTCAATTCGTTGTTCGTGGAGGCCTCGTCCTGTCTCGCCTATGTAAACTTTATCGCAGCCGCCGCAAGGAATGCTGTACACCTGGCTGAGAGGTCTGTTGTGGTGTGACCACTTTTCCCTTACGATGTCTCCGATCTTCTTACCGGACGTGGTGGCTATCTTCATCGTATGGCCCAACAGGGCCTCCAGGTGATGCGTCAGCTGCGAGTGTGGAATGATGATCCTGTGTGTTTTGTTCTGTGTGGCGTCCCCTTTTGATCTGGACATGATTTTTTCTGCCTTGCGTCGGAGGTGGGCGAGCGAAGCGCGAGGGTAACGGAGGCGTTGGAAGGTGTTGTTGATGTGTTGCCTTTCCTCTTCCAGGTATTCTGGGCTGCAGATTCTAAGAGCTCGGAGGAAGAAACCAATGACCACGCCTTCTTTGGTTCTATTGCTGTGGGCGGAGAAATAGTGTATAAAATCATCTTTATTAGTAGGTTTTCTGTATACAGAGAATACCGGGCCGTCAGATCTCCTATGGATTATGGTGTCGAGGAAAGGTAGCTGTTCGTTTCTCTCCTCTTCTGTGGTGAATTGTATGGATGGGTGCACTGTGTTCCGTCTGTGGAGGAGGTTTTGAAGGTTAGTCCTGGTCGGTAGTACAATAATTTGTGTGTTCTCCTGTACTTCCCTTCGTTGTTCTACTTGCAATTTGTTCGACATGAATTACACACACACACACACACACACACGCACACACACACACACACACACACACACACACACACACACACACACACACACACACACACACACACACACACACACACACACACATATATATAGGTATGTTACAGTATACCTATAAATGTATATATATATTTATATATATTACATACCTATATGCATATACATATATATATATATATATATATATATATATATATATATATATATATATATATATATATATATTTACACATATACATACACATATATACATATATACATGTATGTATACACATGTATACACACATGTATACACGCATATATATACATACATGTATATACGCATATATACATACACACAAATATGTACATATACATACTTATATGTATATACAAATATATGTATGTATGTATACATATAAGTATATATACACATATAAGTTTAAGTATATATACATATATGTATATATACTTATATGTATATATACATATATGTATATATACATATATGTATATATACATATATATACACATACATATATGAATGAATATATATACATATATATTTATATATACATTTGTATATATATATATATATATATATATATATATATATATATATATATATATATGTATATATAGATGTATGTATGAATACATATATACATATATATACACATTATGTATATTATATACATGTATATATATATATATATATATATATATATATATATATATATATATATATATATATATATACATATATATATATATATATATATATATATATATATATATATATATATATATATATATACATATATATATATATATATATATATATATATATATATATATATATATATATATATATATATATATATATATATATATATGTATATATAGATGTATGTATGAATACATATATACATATATATACACATTATGTATATTATATACATGTATATATATATATATATATATATATATATATATATATATATATATATATATATATATATATATATATATATATATACATATGTATATATAGATGTATGTATGAATACATATATACATATATATACACATTATGTATATTATATACATGTATATATATATTTATATATACATATTTATATATATATGTATATATACATATTATATATATATATATATATATATATATATATATATATATATATATATATATATATATATATATATATATATACATACATATATTTATGTATATTATATATATATTATATATTTCATATATATATTTCATATATATATATTTCATATATATTACATATATTATATATATATATATATATATATATATATATATATATATATATATATATATATATATATATATATAAATTGCATGTATATTATATATATATATATATATATATATATTTGTACATATATGTATATATATATATATATATATATATATATATATATATATATATATATATATATATATATATATATATATGTATATATATATTTATATATATACTATATATATATATTTATATATATATTTATATATATATATATATATATATATATATATATATATATATATATATATTCATATATATATATATATATATATATATATATATATATATATATATATATATATATATATATATATGAGATGTATAAATGTTACATATCGAGAGCCACCTTCAGTCGATGTCGACTATGGCATTATTGTCTCTCCCCACTTCCGTATAGGTAGTGCCTGGGCGAAAGGATGTGAGGAGCCAGCTGTTGTCCAAGTAGTAGGCTCCCTCTCTCCACGCAGCTGAGGGATCTGTCACGTACCTCTACGTTGCAACATGACTATAACGCCGTCTTGCAGAGTATGACTTTCAAACAGGGTGGCCGGTTTATAGAATGGTAGCAAGGCGTTATTACAGCACAACCCGCTCGTCACGACCCTGAATCCCATTAATAAGCGTTAATAAGTGTTTTCTTTATTTATAACACGCTCCAGTTAGTCTTAATTACTTCGTTTATTTCGTTGTTTATGCCTTTTCATTTTAACTTTATTAACCATTTTTTTATGTTTATCATGTTTAAATTATCCATACTGCTTTCTTTGAAAGTAATTAAATATAAATAAAACAAAGGTAAAACATGGATAAAACGAAACCAAAAACATTAAAAGGAAAACCTGAGATTCCTCGGTTTGTGTATGCTCAAATTTCACAATACACATAACACATCCTAAATGGCCTCTTGTAAACAGTGAAAATAAACTGATCTCTCACTCGTAGATTCAATAAAAACAGCAAGGAGGCGTCCATTGGGCTGGCGCTCTGCGAACCACTTCTAAACCAGACGGGCACAACAACCCAAGAGAGAGTTCGGTGACAAGACGTTTGTCTTGTCGAAAGAATTCTTAAAGATAAAATAAAAATAAAAATGAAAGTAATTTGACCATTATAAGAAATTTGAAACCAAAACTTGTAAAGAAATCTAAAAAAAGTAAAAGATAAAATAGATAAAAAAAAATCCATGGATGAAGAGGACGCAGGTGGCTACCAAGAATGCCCACAGATGGTGCTGAGCGAGTGCTGCTGCTGTCAACTGGGGGGGGGGGGGGGGCTCGCCTAGTCTGGACTCAACCACAGTGGAGGTTCTTCACGTCCACTGTAGATCCAAAGGAACAGCATAGACCGATACGGCACCAGCGGCGTCTCAGGAGTTGCCAGAACGAGGTCGCAAGACACAACGAACTGCTTCCAGTGCTCCGGCTCCGGATGTTTCCTCAGGGTTGACTCCGGAAGCCTAGATATATGTGTGTGTGTGTGTGTGAATATATATATATATATATATATATATATATATATATATATATTTATATATATAT